ATCGAACCATTTCACCGAAAATAAAATAATTTAAATTTTCAATGATTTTTTCTGAAGGCCTGAAGCACTCGAAAAATCTGAAAAAATTCAAGATTGTTTGGATTGTTGAAAAGTACCTTCATGAATTTTTTCAGATTTTTTAATAGCTTCAGGCCTTCAGAAAAAATATAGATAGAAATTGGACGTCTATAGGGGAGGAGGGGGGTAGGAGGGGGGAGGGGGTCCAAAATTTTGGTTTTGGCACTTTTTTATCATGTACTATAACATACCAAAATTTCAGGAAAATCCGTGAACCTCGCCCGCAGGTTTATTTGAAAAATTCTGAATCTGACCCATAGATATATATAAGTTTATTGCAAAGTAGCGTATAAATGTAGAAAGCTTCGTGCAAGCTCAATCCCGAATGCGTGTCATATAGTACACGAGATATCAATGTAAAAACCAGCGCAAGAGAGGGGCCAAACAACATTTACAAAGCAGCGCAGCGAGCCGCGAAGATCGAACGTGCCCTTGGGGCAGGCTGCTGCTGCTGCGCTTCTGGTATACGTCTCCCTTGAGAGATGAGAAAAAGCTCGCAAAAGCACGCGGACGGAATAAAGAGAGAGAGAGAAAGAAAGAGAGGATTCAATGCAAAGCCATTCGTATGCAATGCGCGAGAGTGTGGAATACCTTTTTTTTTAATTTCGATTAGTGCGCATACATCTCGCATGCTGTACGTCAATATTTGCCAGGATAGTCCAAGCTCGACGCGCATATGTCTTATTCGTAAATTTTAACGAATTCTCGCGGGCTAATGTCATGTATATGATATGTAAGTTGAATTTCCTGAGCACGTCGAAAGTCTTCGTGCCGCTTCGGGATGCCATAAAATTTGCACAGAAAAGAGATTACCGACTAGATATAGAGCGGGTGGCGTCTCTGCTCGTGTACATGTATTTATACGAGATCTTGTACACTCGTTACATTAATGCTTATACAATGCTAAATAGTTTGATTACAGCGGCTATATAGGAGAACTGGCCGGGATACATATCTCGTGTACTTGTGCAAACGAGCTGTAATTTCGGCAGCTTTGAAGCGATAATTTATCTGCACGGGTCTCTGTGTGTATATTATAGCCGACGTCTATCTATCCTTCCTCTCTCTGCGAGCAATAGTCGTTTGACGATCGCAAAGAGCCTTTAGATTATGATGACGATAAAAAATGGCCCTTTAGAATTTTAGATTTATTAAAAATTAATTTCTATTAAAGAGCGCTACAAATGCACGAGCATCATGCGCTTAGTGCCTTCTATTTTATAGCCCTGATTTTATTACATCGACCTATTTTTATTCTCTCGCTCAAGGTTTAAATTTTTTAATATCTATGGAAATTATTTTCACTCGAGTATTACATAAATTGATAATTAAGTTTACACTACGATCGAGGCTGTTCAAATTTAATCAGCTAAAATTAAGGTTAATAAATGATAGGTGAAATAATTATTCTATTACGCAATTAATTTGAGATTTATTAAGTACATTTAAGATGTTACCACGAGGTGTGATAACTGCTGTAAAAATCTTCACATTACAGTAATGTCTACATTGAAGGCGTTTTATTTTTATTATATACTATAAATAAGCTGCGACCAAAACGTAAGTCGTCTTCAGTGTTTCAGTAAAGTTCAGCAAGACAAGACAGTATGTTCCTGAGAGCTTGTGTTTTTGCACTATTGTGCGCGAATCTTGTTTTAACCTCGCCTCACTTTGGAAAGGTTCCAAAAAAAGTATATTTTATTATCTTTTAATAATTTTCTGAAAATTAATTAATCTAGTTCAATTATAATAACTTTTTCGAAAAAAACCTCTGCTCAGGACTACGCTAATGGAGGACTGTCGCTGATAGACTACTTCCGTTTTGGCTATGAAAATATCCCAGCATATTATGGAAAGTCCCGGATAACGGTAAATAATCGAAGTAATATTTTTTTTGGTGTAAATTAATAATTAATTAAATTGTATAATTTTGATTGGCAATCTCAGCGTAATATTCACGCCACTGCTCAAAACAAATTTGTTTTTGGATGGCTCTCGGATGGCCCTGACAAGTTACCAATATGCGTAATGACGGTAAGTTAATGCAACTTAATTTAATAAATGTTAGTTATACTTGAATATCACTTGATTAAAATGTTTGAGTGGAACAAATGTATCGGTAATTTTATAAAGTGGCATCATTTTTGTGGAACAAAAAATGCATTCCAAGAAAATTGAAAAATACATGCAAAAATGTTATTCTATACTATAGATTAAAAAAGTAAGCGGTCAAGTAAATTTTACGTAGCGTGCGGTAATAGCACTTTGAATCGATTCAAATCATTGATACTTAAATATATGTAACTAAATACTTGAGTAGAGTCTACTTGGATGCTCGCCACCACCTTTTTTCTCAGTGTATGGGTCAAATACTCTTACCCAACGCTGCTAAATAAGTTTCATTTTAAAATCATTATTCCAATCGAATAATATTTCTCTGCCTAGGAATCACGAATGGTGGCGATGGAAGCCTGGGTGTTCAAAGTCGAGCGAATACTCGCCAATGACAAAAATCTGTTGAGCACAAACAGCTTAGCCACATATCAAGAGCTCATTCTGATAGTGGAAAAGCTCGGAGAGTCCCTGAAACTTCATAAAGGTATCACTAGTGAGACGCTCGACCCGTCGAATAAGGCACAGAGAAAAGCACTGAAACAAATGACGAGGGATCGCACGTTCTTCGTCAACGAGATAAGTCGCTTGGGACCACGAATGACGTCCGCCCGTCGCAATGCCGGACAGCTCATTGAAAAATTCAAGGGAGTCCCATCGATGTCGTCGAACCGGACCAAGTTGCACGCCTACCTCTCATTGTACTACATTGTCGATATAATCGATATGATGAGGCAAGAGGCGATCGAGCTCGATCGCATCCTACAATTGATCATGATCGAACTGCCTCGGTTGGAAAGAAATGTTCCATTCTGGGATAGAATTAGGCTATAAAAATTACAATTCTGAATTTTACGTTGTAAGTTTTTTAATATCAAATAAAATACGACGGTTTTTATAATCTTAATATTACGAATTTACTTTAATAAACTCCAAATCCTTACCATTAAAAAATGAAAAAAAAGATATTTTGAAGTAGCTTCCTTTCAAGTTAATAACATCAGGCACTTACACCTTCGAGAGGCGTAATGCACTTTTTTCCATAGTTGAGCTTGAAGTATCACCCGAGCCAAACTTTGAGTAATTAAATATTCCCGTTATTTAATCATAAGTCGAGCCTTGGAAAAGGACATTAGCTCGGGGGCTGAAATAATGGATCTTTCGCTTTAGCGTAGAATTATTTGAAAAATCTAGCCCTTGAAAATAGCTAGCTTCGTGGTCCCTTGCTATGCACGTCTATATAGGCTGCATTTATATCAGTCCGTATGCGTAGGGCTGCGCGCATACATATAGGTATAGAGAAAACATCCACTCCCTCGCCGCGTGCATGAGTATTCTCAGGCCCGCCGTCTATCCTACACCGAGTATGTGCCTCTGCCTCTGTGTATGTGTGTGGGTGAACGCGCTGCGCACAGGCTACACCCGGGGATATGCGCGCCAGTAGATATATATATGCGTTTGGTACGGCAGAGATCCATGAGCCAAGAGAGCGAGAGAGAGAGAGAGAGCGAAAGCTGCGAGAGTAGAGTCTGCGGTGTGGAAGCTGTGGAAGCATCGCAGAACGCGTTCGGACGCGCTACCGACTGCACATCCTGCCGCATATTTTCCGACTTTGCGATATTTCGCGCACGGGATATCGTACACGCATAAAAGTTTATGAAAATATTTTTCTGGTGAATTTGGTTTATTCGGAAATAAAGGAGAGAAAAAATAATCGAGGACGCGTGTGCCCAAAGTTCTCTTGTGGTCAGAGTGTGATTTTTCTGGTTGAGGTTTTTTTCTGTTGTTGTTATTCCATCAGCCAAGGCCACTGTTTCGTGAGTAAACAAATGCAATAAGTTTCTCAGTTTGTCAAGTGCTGATCGCCGGAAAATCGAATACGGAAGAGACTCGAGAGAAAGGAACAACATGTTTTTTTTGAAAGGACTCTGGAGAGGCAATACTGGACATACGAGTGAGTACCGTGTATCGAATTTACTTGAAAAAAAAAAATCAAACTTATTTGCAACGGAGAGCGTCATCGAGCTTTATTGCGATATTATCAAATTACGCGCGAATTACGCTGATTTGAATTTCAGAGACGCGCAATAATCGCAGCACGACAAAATGAGAGTTGCTGCTCCATACCGGTGTAGTTTTACCAGGCTGGAATTGAAGTCGCGTCACTGAAACTGGCGTACGTTGAATGCGTTAAAGACACGCCGGGACAAAATTTGAATGAAAATTGTTGAGCTCTTTGCCCGAAGAACTTGTTATCGAATAAGGAAGGCGTGGAAAAATTCCAATTTCCATCGAGCTTCCTGCATTATTTTAAAAGTCAAGATAGCAAAACGAGACATAATTTTTTGTAATCGCGACATTTCCCCTGTGGGAACGGCGGGCGCGTTAACGTCTCTACGCGGATAAAAAAACACACGTATTATAGCGCGAAACGAGGCGCGAGCGCGCGTGCGGTAATGAAGAAACCGACGCCGACGACGTACTAAAACAATAATAAAGTTATAGCTGGATACAGCGAGCATAAGAAAGTTGTTATAATGCGATACGGAGGATAAGCATGCGGCCTTTATGCGCTGCGTCCTATGGCCCATAATAAGCATGGCGAGGCGATGTTGTGACTTTTTGCGGGCTACTTAGTGCGCACGACTGCGAGTGCGAAGAGAGGATGAAAAAAAAGCTCGAGCAGTAGCGGTAGCGCAGTAGAGAGTCCTTATATAGGTGTAAACGGGGCGCGGGTCTTGTCTCGTCGTCCTGTAGCTCACGATACGCGTACCCATGTATATTCATGGTACCGCAGAGTCGAGGAAAATTTCCCCAGCGTGAAATGAAAATTACACTAGGAGCGCGCGACGACGCGGCCCGTATGTTGTGTAGCGCACCTCGACTTTCCTCCAAAGTACGAAATGAAAATTTACCCGCCCTGCGCGTTACACGCTAAATAAATTCCACTTGCATTTTTCTCGTTCAACTCTGCACGTGGATTACGTAATACATATCGCTCGTCATCTCGCGGTGTACATACATACGTGTGGCTGTGTTAGTCGCGCCTCGTGTGCAGCTGTAATCGTATGTAAAATCATTTACTGCCGTGTATAAGCGAGCGAATAATAATATGCAGAGTGAAAATCTCGCTCTGCGCTGGAGTTACGATGCAGCAGTACACACACACACACATCCAAGTGCTCGATATCATATATACCATTCGCGTTGCGGAGGATAATATTCCTGCGCATTCCTTATCTGGAATTTCTCGCGCGCTTTGCTCTTCCTAAAATTTCCAGCCTCGCTCGCGCTTCAGCTACATATACCCGCTACTCGTACATGTTGCTATGTATGCCGCAGATATAATAGTCGCGCGGCGAGCACTACTACTTCGTATCTAATCAGTTGTGTACGCGCCAGAGTCATCGCGAGATTATACGGCACTGGCTTAAGTACGAGAGAATTTAGAATGTTCATATAAGACGTGCCAAGTTTAACGACGTATTAAAATCGGGCATACATGGCGCGTACTCGACTCGATTGTCGTCCAAATTAAAAAGCAAAAAGAAGGGAAGAAAAACGTTTCCTCCTTATGTACATGCGACTCTCACGGGAGCGACAGTTTTTTTCCCTCTCTTGGAAGTATTACGTGCCCTGTCATCTTGGAGCAAGTCCAGTCTCGTAATCGACGCATTGGCTTTCAATCGAAAGAACTTCATTGCTGCACGCGCCAGCTCCTGCGCGTTTCCAATGGACGCCCAGCTGACACTATAATGGCCAGTCCCGGCTCGATTGGATTTGTTCGTAAGTTTCTTATATGTATATACGAGCTCGGCTCTCTTTTTTCTGCTGATTCCGAAAGCTGAGCTTTTTCTTTTTATTACATTGGATGATAAAAAAGATTAGATGCTCGATGAAGTGCGCGCACCTACGGACTCCTTAGTGATATCGTTCGAGTGAGACGTTTTAATTGCGTATGGGAGCCTTAAATATTGAACTATCAGTTTTTCACGATCGAATTGAGCCTTTTCGTCTTATTTTTCCAGTGGGACATGCATGCATAGTCAACTTACAGTTTTGCGTGCACGAAACTGAAAAGCGGAAAGAATTTAATTAAAACTTAAATGTCGGCCTCTTTCTCTCTCTCTTTTCCCAGCAGCCTCTATCTCTTCGGCAAGAGGAGAGAGTCTTTTGGTCAGAAGTTAATTAAAAAAGTGTATGCAAACAAGATATCTGACCGAATGCCGCATACGTATAAGCAACGAGCACAGCTTCAAGGAGGATATAGAAGCTCGACACACCGGGACCGAACGTACCGACATTTATTTTTTAACCTGATTACAGCCGTACACCTATATACAGGGATGAAAAAAAAAAGAAAAAAAAGTTGCGGGGGAGGGATGCTTTAATCCTTGATACTTTCTAAACGTTAATCCTCTTTGCTCGAGGCGCAGGCCAAGTTTTTGCGATCTGCAAGCTAGATTAAGCGCAAGGGAAAGATAGAGAGAGAAAGAGGAGCTAGTCGCTGTCTTGCGCATTTACAAACGTACGATACTAGACTTTTAGGAACTGCATCGTAGGAGGCTCGAACAGCTACACCGACAATGGCAAAGGTGCACTCCTCGACGTTTGGCCCATCTGTACTTTGTTATTATACCGTTCGGGGTATTATATACCTACACGATCCCAATGGAATTACATTATCCTTTATATATTATATGCACGCCGCGAGCAAATAAACTCTCAAGTGCAGCTTTTGAGATTATTGCATTATCGATGTGGATCGAAATTCTTCAATGAACTCTCTTAACGCGCGGATCTTATAAGCTCGAGTATAAATTCGATTTTTACTTCTCCCTACAAGTACGTAGAATTATATAGCCTCGGAAAGCCTACGTTATAACGTGGAAGCTGAGAAACTTTGCGTCACGGCAGCAGTAGCAGCAGCAGCAGCAGCAGATGCAGCTTGACTACTCCCGGCACGTATGGCCAATTAAGCTCTTCTTATGCCGGAGCTGCAAGCTATTACATGCACAGACACACGCACACATGCACTACCGCACTCGTACGCATGCCCCGTCCACACACGTACTAACTTTAATCGAGAATCTCTGCGCCATTCGTACCTGCGTATTAATATATAGGTGCGATGATAATGCCAATGCCGTATATACGAAGCTTATTTTCTTCATAATTATATTGCACGCGTGCGCGCGGCCCGACTCTACTCGTAAGCTTAATTGGCGTGTAAAAATCGAAGCTTTTCTTCCATTCACGGCGCACCTCGGCAAATTCGCACGCGTTCGCGCGCCTTTATACATTAAAGCAACTTTGCTCGCAGCCGAAACATTAGCAGTTCTAGGTGCATGCGTAGTCCCAGCGCAACTACTTGCAGAATTATTATGTTTATCAAGGCTAATGACTGACTGCGAGTGGATCACTTTGATGTTGAATATTTCATCTGGCCCATGTAGGCGCTATAATGTTATATAGTAGAGCGCAAGATGCTATAGGGTAATTATGAATATCGAGTGCATCGGGCTCGACTGATGGAGCTAGGAAAAATCTACGTTTATATGCCAGTCTGATTTGGTTTTCATACCAATGAAAAAGGGAGTTGGAAAGTCGAGTGCATAATGTGCTGCCTCCGAGAGATTTCATAAATCCTGCAATCGAGAACCGTCGAATTATCGACCACTGATCGATTTTTAATTATCAGCCGAGTGTATATTATACTATACCGTATTATTCATCATTTTTACAGAACTGTATGCATAGTACGAGCTTTTTACTCTGCATGTGTATGAATGCCGCGGCCTCTCAAACGATCCATCAAGTCATCGCGCGTTGGCTTTTCATTCAGCTTGTGAAAATTTTTTCTCTCGCAAATGAACAGGTATAAAAAAAATAGCACCGTTATTTTCACGACTTTGTTGAGAGATGGATATAGAGAGTTAGGGGGACAAATAATGGCGCGCGTTGATATTTTTTATTCTCTTAACTGCGTGACGGATAAGTGAAAGAGAGATTGAAATCGATACGTCAGCTTCTATACATATATGTATGTATATGCAGCGACGAGTGTAGCAATAGAAAAATTGTAGAATCCTCTTTTTATCTCACGGGCAAACTAAATAAATATTCATACAGCGCAGGAGCTAGCTACAGGGCTTGGACTCGAATCAAATTACTCGTGAATTATTTGTGCAAATATTTGATCACACCACGGCAGGCTCGCGACATATCCAAAGTGCTCACGTACAATTTCACTTTATACCTATATATATAAATGATATCCACTACAGCTTCCAACGTATACAAAGTAAAAAAATAAATAAATAAATATGAAAGCTTCCGCGGTAAAAACTGGAAAAAGAGCTGAGCTCTCTTTTCTCTCTTGGTATGCGCGAAGCTTCGATACTGCACTGCACCGAGAGCAGAAATTACTGGACACAGAATACGCGCGCACGTGCATATATGTTGGCATATTCGAATAGGCCGCTTCTGTGCGTATAAATTTTCACCACGTATCATCGTAAATCAGACATGGCTCAGCGCGAGAGGAACGCTGCATGCGTAAAATTTGAATATCGCGGATAGTGCAAGCTCCGGCTCTCTCTTTCACTCGCTCGCGAGCGCGCGTGCACGTTGAAGCGCAAAATATATAGCCGTTCTTTTTTTTTTCTTTTTTTTGCTCGCTGCAAGCTCCATCACGCGCACCATGTAGCAGCTCGCGTCGCGCGCTATCTGTACCGATGCTTTGGCGAGAAAATAATATCGCGACTTTTTTCATCACCGACCTTTTTTTTTCATTTACATATCCGAGGGTTGCACAGTATACACGCGAGGTGTTCGTTACTCGTATTTACAATACAAATGGATGCAAAGCCAAATTAAGCGCATTTAGCAGCTATGAGCTGTATCGCAATGGAATGTGCATACTAGGCTTCGACGAAGCTCGGGCGTCAGCAA